GGGGGGGGGGGGGGGGGGGGGGGGGGGGGGGGGGGGGGGAATGTTAGGGACTTGGGCATCTTTGATTCTCCATCATTGGTGAGGGGGGAAGGGTGACTCAAGGGTAGTGATTGGACCTGTAAGGGCAGGAGACAGCCATAGGGAGAGACCCAGTACATGCCAGTCTAGTGACCTGACCTGCCTGTTCTCCCAGGGCGGAGATCTGCCCAGTGTGGAAGAGGTAGAGGTGCCTGCCCCACCCTTGCTGTTGCAGTGGGTCAAGACTGATCAGGCCCTGCTCATGCTGTTCAGCGATGGCACTGTCCAGGTAGGAGCCCATCCTGGAGGTGAAGGGACGGTCTGGTAGGCTCAGGGTTCTGGGAAGGTGTGAGTCTAGTGTCCAAGCCCTGAACGCTGTTACCTTCTGTGCACAGGTGAACTTCTATGGGGACCACACAAAGCTGATCCTCAGTGGCTGGGAACCTCTCCTTGTGACTTTTGTGGCCCGAAATCGCAGTGCTTGTACTTACCTCGCCTCCCACCTCCGGCAGCTGGGCTGCTCCCCAGACCTGCGGCAGCGGCTGCGCTATGCTCTGCGCTTGCTCAGGGACCGAAGTCCTGCTTAGGTTCCAACCTGCAGAGCAGGCTGTGATCAGACCCCGGGCCTGTGTGCCTGAAAGACTCGGGCCCTTGCCTTTGTGGCCCTTCCTGTCCCTTTGGTGCCTCACTGGGGGCTCTGGGCCGAGTCCCCCAGGGAATCAGGGACCAGCTTTACTACAGTTGGGGACGGCCTGTCCTCCTGTCTCTTACCCTTTCTCCCTGAGATAAGCCTGAGCCTTAGCTCCCAGCTCGGGGGCATTATTTATGGACCACTTTTATTTATTAGCACATTTATTTATTGGGATGTGAGCCCCAGGGGGGCCTCCTCCTGGGATAATAAACTGTTTTTCAGAACTTAAAGGCTTTATCATTCCCAGTAAACCGCGTGGACAGTAGCCACGGCGAACAGTGAAGTGTTGGTGAAGGTGGCCGAGGCCAGCCCATCATGCACTGTGTCCCAGAGTGCCCGGCTGGCCACATGCACGCCCTGTCTCTCGCGTGGTCCAAGCACCACACTGCACACCAGTTTGTAGCGGGGTAGGCTGAGTTCCCGCACACGTATGCGTATCTGTTCACACAGCGCCTTTGCCAGTTTCCCCGCCTCGGTACCCGAGTAACACACATTGCTCAGCCCTGCATCCAGTGCTGCCTCCAGGACACGCTGAGCGCTTGCAGCTTCCCAGCGCTCGCCTGGCGCTGGTTCAGTGCGGTATGAGGGTGCCATCCGACGGGCAGGCATGATGGGTAACCCAGAAAAACTAACTCGTGAACCTAAAGGCGGTATCAGGCCCAGGGATGGTCGTCGACCTCCAAGACCTACTAGGGGTCCTGCCAGTGAGTTGCGGCGTGAAAAGGATGGGTGTAGGCTCAGCAGGGAGCCGCGACGGGAGGCTGGGCCTGGGCCTACAGGTCGGGTCTCATCAATGCTGGCCAGGTGACCTCCAGACTTCCCTGGTGGTAATTTCAGAGCCAGGTCTTTGGTAGTATCCTCTTCTGGGTGTCCTGATTGCAGAGTCCTGCCAGCCATGGCTCTGCCTGCTGGAAGATCCACACTTAGGAGTGGCCCTTACTGGCTCAGATCTCCCTACACCCTGCCTCTTGCTTGGGGAAGCTGAGGTTTCTTTTCTTTTCTCTTTCTTTCTTTCTTTCTTTCTTTCTTTCTTTCTTTCTTTCTTCCCTCTTTCTTTCCTCTTTCTCGCTCTCTCTCTGTGTTTGAGATAATGTCTCCCCGTGGCCTCCAACTCTTTGTGTGGCTGAGTCTGGCCTTGAACTCCTTCCTCCTGCCTCTAGCCCCTAAGTGGTGGGATTTCAGTTGGTGCCACCACACTCAGTGCCTCCGTAGTAGACTATGGGCATATATCACCTGTCTAACTCCTCCATATTCCTTTCTTGAACCAGCAGATCCAATTGGTGCGTGGGCTGCTTAGAGAAGGTTAAGAGCAAGGGAAGGGCTGCTCAGTCTGTGCTTAGGGAACCTCTGCCCAGAGTTCTCCCTTGGTCGCCATGGAGCTGACTGGGTGAGCAGGAAACCCACTTGGTGTCTCCCCTCCCACTTGATTTCACCAGCGGAATGGGGACATGAAGTTGGTTTCCAGATTTCTTAATCCAGAGCCAGAAGGGGCAGACCCAACCCCATCACTCCCATAGATCTCTCTGGCCTCAGAAGCATGGGACGTAACCGTCTTCCCTGCTCTAAGTAGGCTGTGACTTCTCTCCCCTTGCCCTGCTGCATTCGGAGGTGGGCGGCGAGTGAGATGTCCATCCTCCTCCTTAGGTCTCCTGAAACTCCCTCAGGCACCTGACTCACCTGTAGCCTTTGACCTCCAAGCTCTGCTGGCCCCCAGTCTTCACTGAGCTGCCCTCCCTGCCAGGCCTGTAGGTGGTGAAGGCTTGTGTTGTGCAGTAACCATGGGGCTGCTGTGGCAAGCATGCCACTCCCTCCCAGAACTCCTCCCTCCAGCCAAACTCTGGAATAACCTAAGTGCTACTGCTATGAGCACCTGCTGGGGGGAGGGAAGGCATCCTGAGTTATGCGAGGGGGGGGCGTCCACAGGGGCTTGGAGTGTCTAAAGCATCACAGCCGAGGGGGCAGGTGTAGAGAGGTGTGATGGACAGGAAGGTGCTTTTGAGCCACTATTATGAAGTGTCCAGTCAACCGGTCTGGCCATTTGTGAACAGATCACAGGGGCCTGGGATGTGCTAGAACCTTGAGACTTACGGGGGCGACTTCTTAGGAATCCAGTATCTGGGCTCACAGGAAGGAGTACGTCATGGTTTTACATTCTCCCATCAGCCTCAACAAGGACAAACATTTCCGTTTCAGGGCAGAGCTAGGGTGGGGCTTGGATGACTTCCTTACGCCAGAGCTGTGTGCTGAGGAGGGGAGGCCTTTGGCTCAGTGGGAAAGACCCAGGCCTCGCATGGCCATGACTCAGTGGTGCCCTGGAACTTGTCCCCAGATGGCCATACCTCCTTCATCACCCAGTACATAATACCTCTTCCCCTAGGGATGATTGCCTCTTGGTGATGCCTCGCCTGCCCTGCTCTGGGAGGCATGGGGCTGCCCCTCCCAGGCAAACTTAAATCTGAGCTCTGAAAACCACACTTAGGGGTCAGAATCTTCCCTGATGAGGTGATGATGTCTAATCCCAGTTCTAGACTGAACCCCTAGGGAAGGGATTGGAGGGCAGAGACCTTACATTCTGAACCCAGTGTAGGCAGGCAGGAGCCAGTACTAGGACCCTCCAACTCTTAGAACCCTTCTACGGCTGAAATATTTTCCTAGGCGGGTAGGGAGATGGGCGGGGCCTCCTCAGGCTCAGCTCCAATTTCCATGGAAACTCACAGGCTTCCCACCCAGCTGCTGCCTGGGCAGTCTCCCAGCCTGGGCCTCATCCACAGCCAGCTTCTCTGGGATCATAGGCCTGCCCAGCGGCAGCTTCTTTGGGTCCTCTCTGAACCCGCATCGCTTACCTGAACCTCAGGTTTTCTTTAGGGACCTGGGCCTCTTTTGTCCTAGACCTTCAGCTCCTCAGCAAACGGTCTCTACAGGTCCTGCCCTCCCTCTCGGGCCTCTCTTGCCTCACTAGGCCATTTCACCCTTTGTTCTGCTGCTCATCCCACGCATGGAGAACCCAGGACTGGTTGTGCATGGGCAGGCTGCTTCCTTTTCCACAGCACTCCGAAGTCTTGTCAACAACCCCCGGTACAGGTGAGGCAGTGACTCCACTCCCTGGTGGGTTTTCCTTAGCTTGCTCTCACCGGCCTATGGATGAATTTGAGGAGGCTAAAGGTGAAGAGGCCAGGAAAGAGCACTTGGCCTCCCTGGTGAACTCAGTCTATGAAGTCAAGTAGAGACGGTGTCTACTGGCCTGTGTCCATGCTATCCTGAGAGTCAGAGGTGGGGGCAGTGAGGGATAGACAGGAGGGCAACTGTGTGAACTCAGGCAAAGCCCTTCCTTCTCTGGATTGAAGGAGGAATCCCCAACTCCCTCAGGTGGGATTTGATCTGACTCACTCCAGTCGGGTATTCAGCTAAGTGCTAGACTTCTTTCCTTGAAGAGACAAGAGTGGAGGACTCTGGGGAGTCCTAAGAGGAACGAAGCCCAAAGGATTAGGTCAGAGACCCAGACAGGAAGTAGTTCAAGGTTGCTGACCGCCCACGGCTTGCCGATGAGGCTAAGTGCTGTCTGAAACCGGGAATAGAGTTTACTGGGGGCAGGGCTGGTCATGGGAGACAGATTGCTGCTTCCCATCCCCGCTGTCTCAGAGGCCGTCTGCTCCCCAGGGTTAGGGGCTGTCATAATTCTCTTTTTCTTGAGGGCAAAGTGTCACAGTCTGGCCTAGAGGGTGGAACCTTAGGCTTTGCGCCTGGGAGGAGGAGGAGGCAGGGGAAGCTGAAGCTTTCTGTGCTGCCTCCCCCTGTACCTTATGCAGGGCTTCAGAGGCCCAGAGGCTGGGGCCGGAAGTGATCGCGAAGATGGAAAATGTGGTCTCACCTCATGATGTGCATCACTGCCATGGCTGTCACAGTCAGCGTGCTCTGCACACCACATCCTCACACCCTCCTACGGGAGGAAGAGTGAAAATGCTGAGCTGGCATCTCGTGGGCGCTGTACCGCCAGGGGTTTCCTTGCCCCCGGGACTCAGGCTGGAGAGCCATCAATCTTGTTCGCATGAACCCTGGCATCCCCTTTGCCCAAGCATAGTCAACTCCTCTGAGACCCGTGGTCACGGCTGAGAAGTCCGAGAGTTGAAGACAGAAAGCCACAGCGTGGAAGGGGGACTAGAGTGGAGACCGTGTCTCCCGGGCGTGGGCTTTGACCTTACAGAAAAAGAAGCTAAGTCCCAGTGTGGCAGAGGCAAAGCCAAAAGTGTGACCTAGGTTCAAGATTCCCTTCTCTGGCTCTCTGTCCTCTCTTCCACAGCGATGTTTGCTTTGTGGTTGGTCAAGAACGGCAAGAGGTGTTTGCCCACCGGTGCTTGTTGGCCTGTAGATGCAACTTCTTCCAGAGACTTCTGGGGACAGAGACGGGCCCTGGGGTACCTAGTCCTGTGGTGCTAAGCACGGTGCCGACCGAGGCCTTCTTAGCTGTGCTGGAGTTCCTGTATGCCAACAGCGTCACGCTGCACCGCTACTCAGTGAGCCTCCCAAGCAGGGGTCTGGGGAGGGGATGCGCTGGGGATACAAGAGGTGGGGAGTCTGCCCATTCTGCTGGGGGTTGAGGGGCAGGGGAAACTCCCTTCTGTTCCCTCAACTGCCACCCCCTGTGCAGGTGCTGGAGGTGCTGACAGCAGCTGTGGAGTATGGGCTGGAGGAACTTCGAGAGGTGGGTGTCTCAGGCAGGCTGTCTTGTTTCCCTCGCCTTAGTGCGTAGCCTCCTCCACATAGCCTGACCTTCTCATGCAGACAGAAGGATGGACACAGGATCTGCACATGCTCAGTGTGTGCTGAGCAAGTATTGGAAGTATTTCTGGCTGGTTCTGCAGTACAAGGGTAAATTGGTTTTGGCCCATAGTTGAATGGAGAAAGATACATGAAGACATTTGACATGCGTGGGCCGTGGTGTTGCAGGCTAGTATCCCAGCATCTGAAGGCTGGGGAGGATGGCAAGTTTAAGGCTAGCCTGAACTACTTAGGGAGTTCAGGCTAGCCTTGGCTACAGAGTGAGACTTAAGTCTCAAAAAGCTAAATTGAAAAGCAGGGGTCTAAGTGGGATAGGCAGACTGCTGATGTGTGGAGAGAGATTTCTAGAGAAGGAAACTGCTGTGTTAGAGCTTGAAGAACAAGTAGGGTTTTGTTCAGCAGAGTGGGAAGATGACTTTATAGTCACAGGGCACTCAAGGAGCTGCTTAGATATGTGGTGTGGTTGGACTGGGAACATGGGTGTGGGGTGAACTGGAAGGGTACCAGGAGGCTGGTTCATGAAGGTGCTTCAAGAATTTGTGTTTTAGGCTGGAAGTGTAGTTCAGTGGTAGAATACTTGCCTAGTATGCTTCAGGCCCTGGGTTCAATTCTCAGCCCTAGCCCAGTATGGTGGTATATAGCTGTATTTCCAGCACTTGGTAGGCAGAATAGAGAGGAGGATAAAACCAAGTTCGTGGCCACCCTAGTTTACAGAGTGAGTTCTGGGCCAGCCAAAGCTACACAGCAAGGCCCTGTGTCAGCTTTCCCTCTCCTGGAGATCTTTCAATGCAAGGGTGGTAGAGACTCACTGAATGCTTTGGGCAAGGGAGCTAAGGGGGAAAGGGATCGAGAGATAAGGAAGAAGGAAAGGCCTGTCCAGCCAGTCAGATTAGTGTCAAAGTCAAGAGGGTGTGGCCAAGCCGGAAATGGCAGTCCAAGAGAGGTGGGTGGCTCTGAGAGGAGACAGCTGGCAACACCCAGTGCTTTTCTGGAAGACAGGGAGATGTCAAGCATGAAATTTAAGGTTCTGTTAAAAATAGAAATGCAGTTGAGTCAAGGAGGGGACCCAGTGCGGGAAGACAGCGAGGGAAGAGGAGGCTGGAGTTTTGGACAAGTCTCAGTGGAGAGAGGTGTACTAGGGCTCTTCGGGCTCGGTTTGCTAGCCTCCAGGCCCTCTAGGCTTGCTAAATTACAGGTCCCTATAATTCCCTGGTTCCCAAGTCTGGGAGGTCAGGATGGCTCCGGGGCTGCTGGGAGTCTGAATGATCCACAGCTTCTAGGGTAGGACACCACCACACAATTCACTTTCGTTTCTGTCCCCAGTTATGCCTGGAGTTTGTGATGAAGGTTCTGGATGTGGAGCTGGTTTGTGAGGCCCTGCAGGTGGGTACTGCTGGGCAGCCCTGGGGAGGAATCTGATTTTTAGAATGTGGCCCTGGCCTCTCCTCTCCACATGCCAGAAGCCTTGACTGACAAGAACTTAAGAACGATACGAGAACCACAAAAAAAAAAAAAAAAAAAAAAAANAAAAAAAAAAAAAAAAAAAAAAAAAAAAAAAAAAAAAAAAAAAAAAAAGCAAAACGTTGGTCCATGGTGGCGCACACCTTTAATCCCAGCACTTGGGAGGCAGAGGCAGGTGGATGTCTGTGTGTTCGAGGCCAGCCTGATCCAGGACAGGCTCGAAAGCTTCAGAGAAACCCTGTCTTGAAAAACAAAAAACCAAACAAAAAAAAAAGAGGAAAAAAGATGTGAGGGTGTGTATGCTCAAGGACACTTATGAGATAAACTCCGCCCTGATCTGTGGGGTGTAGAGAACACCAGTAAGGTCCTGCGTAGGAGCTAGAGTCAAAGGGCTGGGAGAGGCAGGCATGGTGACGCACACCTTTAATCCTAGTACTCAGGAAGCAGAGGCAATCAAATCTGAGTTTGAGGCCAGCCTGGGCTACACAGAAAAAAGTGGGAAATGGCTCTAAGCAGAGATGGGGGAAGGTGGGATGTGGAGTTTAGAAGCCAAACTTGGGCTCCCAGATGGAGCTGAAGGACCTGAACATGGTCCCCAGTTCTACTTTCAGGAGACACTGCATGTGCTGTCAGCCTCCCCATTCGGATGGCGCTCAGGCTTGTGGCAGTCCCTAGTATGCAGAGCTGGGTCACACTGCCTCTCCAGTCTCTAGCCTGACCACCTTCACTCTGCTCTCAGGTGGCTGTAACCTTTGGCCTGGGGCCGCTGCAGGAGCGGTGCATAGCCTTCATAGAGGCTCACAGCCAGGTACAGCTCCCAGCATTATTATTCTTGTAGCCTGTCTTCCCTACGCCACTCTGCTCTGCTCTGATCAAATACACCGATCCATAGGAGGTTCTACAAACCCGCGGCTTCCTGGAGCTATCGGCCACTGCGCTGCTGCCCGTGCTACGCAGTGACAAGCTCTGTGTGGACGAGGCTGAGCTGGTCAAGGCAGCCCGAAACTGGGCGCGCGTGGGCGCCGTGAGTGGGACCCGGGGGAGGCGAGGGCGAAGCGGCGAAGGCCGCAGGAACTCGGCAAGCGGACGGCAGGGCACAGGCCGCCGCTCCGCCGGGGCTCAAGGTTTACTTCCACAGGCGGTGTTGGAGCGACCGGTGGCCGAGGTGGCGGCTCCAGTGGTTCGAGAGCTGAGACTAGCCTTGCTGGCCCCGGCGGAGCTGAGCGCCTTGGAAGAGCAGAACCGACAGGAGCCGCTCATCCCGGTGCGGACGCGAGTACCCGGGCTCAGATCCACTCTGCCACGTGGGGATGAGGAGCCAGGGCCCTTGCCAGGGACTTCGGACTGCATGGTGACCCTCCTTCTCCTACAGGTGGAGCAAATTGTGGAGGCGTGGAAGTGCCATGCCCTACGGAGAGGAGATGCGGCCCCGGGCGCACCGTGCAGGCGGCGAAGGGGAACCCTGCCCCGGGATCACCACCGTTTTCTGGACCTTCGTTTCAAATGATCCACTTCCGGAACTTGGGAGGCATCTGATCTGATCACACTCCAAACTACAGCTCCCGAGGTGCCCTGCGCCCGAGGCGGGCTTCCGCCCCCAGCAAGCCCTGCGAGCCGGAGGCCGGAAGGACCATGTAGGGGCGGGCCAGTGCCAGTGGACCCAAGTTGGAGTCGTGTCACGGGCTCGGGCGACGCCCCGAGGCCGGAAGCGAGGGTGGCATGTGTTCCGTGAGCTCACACCGCATCTTGCTGCCGGTCACTCCTCAGTCCCTCTATTCGGTTGACGCTCTTATCTATGCAGCGCATCCTCCTTAACAACAAATCAGCTTCCTGGCTCCAGGCTCAGCGCGGAGCTTCTCATCTTCTCCTCTCTCCCAGTCCCGTAAATACTGTTTCTCATTTCTGCGGGTCAGGAACCAGGATCTCTTCTTGCTTACCTCATGCCCTTTCTCCCTTCCAATAGTACTTTCGAGTTGGTTTAGTCTGCAGCCTATCTTCTGTCACTTTTGGGGATCTTTTCTGTCATTACCCCTCCAGTGCCCTCTCACTCCTTCTCCCCACCCCCAATGCTCATTGCATCCCTGTTCCATCGTTGTGATTGTCACGCCCTTCCCTGGGTCCTTCAGCATTCCAGGATCTAAAGTTTCTAGATATTTAGCGGTTCTTAACATTGAGTTTGGGAGTTCCAGAATTAATTTTTGGGGGGGGGGGTTAGGAGGTGGGTAATCTCTCACTGAGTAATCCCAGCTGGCCTAGAACTCATTTTGTAGGCCAGGCTAGCCTTGAACTCACAGAGCTCTGACTGCCTGTGCCTCCCTGGTACAGCGATTAAAGACATCGTGTACTATTCCAGCTAAATTAAAAAAAAAAACAACAAAAAAGCTGGACAGTGGTGGCACACGCCTTTGATCCCGGCACCGGGGAGGCAGAGGCAGGCAGCTCTCTAAATTTGAGGCCAGACTGGTCCGCGAAGCAAGTACCAAGACAGCCAGGGCTACACAGGGAAACCCTGTCTCGGAAAATTAAAAATAAAACAAAACAACCCATAAAAACCTCTTAAAGAGATAGGAAGGAATCTTAACTCTGTTGCTCAGGCTGGTCTGGACTTACTGAGCTGAAACGGTTCTGCCTCAACACCCTCACCTTCAGTATCTGGAACTACTATGGTATTAGATGTATATATATTTTATATTTTTTTCCAAGAAAAACCACCACTGCCTGGCCCTAGCAAATAATTTTAAAGGAGTTGTAAAGCAAGATTTAAAAACGAAGGACAGTGGACAATTTAAAAGGAAATAAAATTATAATTCTGACATATAAAAATGTTTGCTTATGGATTAAAGATGGCTATTCGTATTCTCTCTCAAGATTGAACAGGTGGGGGGGTGCTGGAGAGATGGCTCAGAGGTTGAGAGCATTGCCTGCTCTTCCAAAGGTCCTGAGTTCAATTCCCAGCAACCACATGGTGGCTCACAACCATCTGTAATGCGGTCTGGTGCCCTCTTCTGGCCTGCAGGCATACACACAGACAGAATATTGTATACATAATAAATAAATAAATATAAAAAAAAAAACAAAAAAAAGATTGAACAGGTGGCTCCCTGGTGGGTACCCTTGTTTGGGTAGTGAACGCTGAAAGGAATTTGCTGCTTGCATGCCTGTAATTCTCTTGCTTTTGGTTACTTTATTCTACGCCACCTTTCGAGGTCATGTACTAAGCCTGTGATGCTTCCATTAGCGTGGCTGTAGCACTGTGATGAAAACGGCCTTCTAAGTAGTTGTCAGGAGCTTGGAAATCATTCATGTTTCTTGAATCCAACAATCCTTCACTTGAGGACAGAACACTCAACCTCTCATGCAGGCAATGACATGTATTCACGAGGCAAGCATAGCATGGTGGAATAGGCCTGTAGGTGGAAGCACTCATGAAGTGGACATAGGATCTAGGATCAGCAGTCTGAGGCCAGCCTAGGTTAGTTACATGATGAGACCTGTTTCAAAAAACAAAATAGGGCTGGAGAGTTGGCTCAGCGGTTAAGAGCACTGGTTACTGGCTGTTCTTCCAGAAGTCCTGAGTTCAATACCCGCAACCATCTGTAATGAGATCTGGTGCCCTCTTCTGGCCTGCCTGTCTACCTGCAGGCAGAATACTGTATACATCTTTAAAATAAACTGGGCCTGTTGTCACACACCTTTAATCCCAGCACTGAGGCAGATCTCTAGTGGCGCAATACAGCAAGATCTAGTCTCAAAAAACAAAAACCAAGAGGCTCATAATGACCCTCCTGCCTCAGCTTCCCAAGTGATAGAATGAATGACAGGCATGGACCACCACACCCTAGACTCTACATTCAAACCTCTATGAAAGAGAAAATAGAAAAAACAAGGCTTTCAAAATTTGATTATGAGCTGGGTGTGGTGGCTCATATCTGTAATCCTAGCACTGGGAGCTGACCAGCTTTGCCTGCTTCCAGACACCTGGAACACAGAAAACAAGCCAACTAAAGCGTGGTGGTGGTGATGCTGGAGAGAAGGCTCAGCTGCTCTGGGAAAAGTCCAGAGTTCAATCCCTAGGACCTGTCAGGTAGCTCGTACACACCTGGGACTCAAGCTCCAGGGGCTTTGATGTCTCTAGTCTCCATAGGTGTCTGAATGCCACATTCACATCCCCCCCCCCGACATTATTAAAAATAAGGTAAACCTAAAGGAAAAAAAATGTTGACTCAGAAGTGTTCCTCTTCATGGAAATGTTTGTGTGAAAGATGAAAGAGGTCAGTGATACAAAGAAAAACCAGAGGATGGGTGTGTCCTTTTGTTTCCAGCCTACCAGAGGTTCAGTGCCTCAGATGCACGGTGCAGGTTAACACATGTATGTTTCCTACAAGTCAGTTGTATCCTACGATCGTGATCCTTAGGGCTGGCACTCAAGCACAGTGAAACTGTCTGCTCTTGATGCACCATGGGTCTGCAAATGAGAAGGCCTCTGCCGGGCTTGGTAAAGCAGCTGTGGGAATGTGGGTGGGCAGAACTGACCCAGAGGAAGCTGTGGATCCCAGCCTGTTGCTCTCTCTCTGCTTCTCTGCCCGGGACCTTGCCCTGTCTTCCCTCGTGCGAGCTGGGATTGCTAAGATATTGGCTCCAATGCTTGGGTGACTGTTCTGTTGTTCCAGACTGGTAGAGCACCCTCAGTTTCAGACTGAGCAGCCCAGCTCAGCCCTGAGCAGCAGGACGCACAGGAGGCATGCTACCACCCCTCTGGCAGCTGTCCTCCAGGTTATCTTTCTTTATATTTTGCTTTTGGAGACAGGGTCTCTCTCTATAGTCCTTGCTGTCTGGTTCCAGTTTTTTATTTTGTTTCGTTGTTTTTGTTTGTTTGTTTATTTGTTTCGAGACAGGGTTTCTCTGGGTAACTTTGGAGCCTGTCCTGGAACTAGCTTGTAGACCAGGCTGGACTCGAATTCAGAGATCCGCCTGCCTCTGCCTCCCGAGTGCTGGGATTAAAGGTGCGCGCCACCACCGCCTGAGTTGTTTTATTTTAGAACAGTGTCTCACTCTGTTCTAAAGACAGTTTAGGCTGGTCTCAAACTCACAGCGATTCTACAGCCTCAGCAAGACTGAAATTCCCAGTGTGACCTGCCACACTCAGCAGCGTCCGGTTCCTCTTGAAGGATGATTGGGCTGAGGACAAGGGAAGCTGAGGAAGAACCTAGGCAGAGGGAATGCAAGTTCAAAGTTATGCGACACAAACACTCGTGGCTTTCTTATCCAGAAAGTGGAGTGCGTTTTAAAGAGGCTCTGTCTGGTAGAGGAGGCTAGCCCTAGTGGAGCCTGGAATGGGATTAGGCTTGATCTACGGCAAGGGGAGCCATGGAAGGGTGCTAAGCCAGAGGGTGGAGTAGGGCTAGGTGCTACACTGGGTGAGCTCACTTTACAAGCAGTGTAGGACTTCTCACCTCAGGCTGGATGAGGTCAGTGCGCCTGGGGTGGTTCAGCTCTGACTGGATCCATTCAGTGACACCCTCACATTCCTCAGGGCTGCATGGATCATGCAATCAGGGTAAGAACTTTCAACACAGCTGTGAACAATGTTCCTAAAAGGAAGCGCTCCTCTTGCAAGGCTGACTAAGCCATCAGAACCTCCGTGATGTGCCGAGGTTGGAATGCTATGTCTGGAGCCAAAGGATCTTGGGACATCTTTGGCCCCACAATAGCCATTTATCGTCCTCTGTACATGACATCACATCTTTGTGCTGCTACCTAAGGTTCCCACCAATGTGGGCTGCCACTATCGGCTTTACTTTTTTTTTTTTTTTTTTGTTTTTTTTTTTTTGTGTGTGTTTGTGTGTGTGTGTGGTTTTTTTTTTTTTTTTTTTTTGTAGTTGTTTTTTCGAGGCAGGGTTTCTCTGTAGCTTTGGAGCCTGTCCTAGAACTAGCTCTTGTAGACCAGGCTGGCCTTGAACTCACAGAGATCCGCCTGCCTCTGCCTCCCGAGTGCTGGGATTAAAGGCGTGCGCCACCGCCCAGTGTTGTTATTGTTGTTTTATTTTATTTTTTTTCAAGGCAGGATTTCTCTGTGTAGCCCTGACTGTCTTGGAACTCACCCTGTAGACCAGACTGGCCTCAAACTCTGACCTTCACACTAGAAACATAGAACACACACCTGACTAACTACCTATCCACTAAATGTTATAATAAAAAGGGCAGCATTTCATATAGCCCAGGCTAACCCCAAACCCAAGTGGCAGAGGATGGCCTCTGATCCTACCACCTGAGTGCTGGGACTACAGGTCTTCCTCACGATGCCAGCTAACTTGAATTCGTTTAAGGCATTTTAGTATGGATTGAGCTGCAATGTGTTTTGTCTCTGTGTGACGTTTGGTTGGACCATGATATTCCGACCTTTGTATGGGTGAGGTGTGAGGAGGCAGTGTGCCTGGGTGGGATTATTCCTGGTGAGTGGCGGCTGGAACACAGGGAGTCTGTCCATCAGGGGTAACTGGGGGAGGGGGAGGGAAGACCTCACCATTCATTTGGGTGAGGCTCTGAATGCAGCCCAAGGCTGTGCCTCGGCTCTTCAAGGCCTCTGTACGACAGGGCTACTCAACTCTTCACCACCAGAAGCTTAAGTCAGTGGGGTTATTAGCTTGGGCATTGACATCCTGGGGACAATCTCCCGCATGGTTAGCTGGCCAAAGACAGTTTCCTGCCTCCCAGCCACCGCTGTGGGTGCACAGCCAGCCGTTCTGCCATGGAGGTTGCTTGGGCCAGGGCTCCTTCCACAAACCTCCTAAAATAGCACCCTAGGTCCTGCTTCCTTCATCTCTTCTTCAGCTGGCCACTTTGCTGACCTTCCATCTCATCATGTCTTCCTGGATTTGCCCCTCCCTGGCAGACTAAGGAGCAGGGAGCCGGAAGCTGAGCCTGGAGAGGTGGGCAGGACTGGTATGCCAAAGGAACACAGGCTTGCATCATGTTCTATGTTAAGCATTTTTTTTTTTTTCGAGACAGGGTTTCTCTGTGGCTTTGGGGTCTGTCTTGGAACTGGCTCTTGTAGATCAGGCTGGCCTCAAATTCACAGAGATCCGCCTGCCTCTGCCACCTGAATGCTGGGATTAAATGCGTGCACCACTACCGCCTGGCTATGCTAAGGATTTCTTCTTTTTTAGAATGTTACTTTTTTAAAAAGATTTATTTATTTATTTATTTATTTATTTATTTATTTATTTATTTATTATGTACACAACATTCTGCTTCCATGTATATCTGCAGGCCAGAAGAGGGCGCCAGATCCCATTACAGATGGCTGTGGGCCATCATGTGGTTGCTGGGAATTGAACTCAGGACCTCTGAAAGGGCAGCTAGTGCTCTTAACCACTGAGCC